TTCCTACATATAGCTTTTGAAATTGGCAGTTCCCACTTACAAACATTAATTATTTCATAAAACTCTGAGAAGAGAAATGAAAGACGAATTATGTACATTAATCAGTCTGATGAATCTTATCAATTCTGCGAATGAAAAATTTGAATATTCTACAAAAAAATTCGAGTCCGTTAAGGAGAGCATAGTATTAAATATGAAGAATTATAGAAAAAACATACTTGAACTGTACCCTCGTAATCGAAATCCGTTTTTCTTCTCAGTTTCTTTTCTAAAAAGCTATTGGCAGGTTGCTGTTTCACGCCAACGCCTACTCCGCGCATACCTCGATAATGACCAGCTGGATCTACACGAAATATTTGAGGCCCATCTTCTTCATCATATGAGATTAGCAACATCACTGTAAAGATAATATTTGTGCAATGACTCAAAAAGCTATATTTGGAGCATTTCCTTACTTATACTACACAGAAGAAAAAAGCAAAAATTGGCATTCACAAACGTCAGTGAAGAGTTTACTGATCGCACATCTTAGGTTATATTAGTACTGAAATGCAAATTCAAAGTAGTTCTATTTTAATACATCCATTTTACACTTTTATTGTAATCAAACAATTACCACAACCCAAAGAACGTAATTCAGCGTTTTGAGTGTAATACTGATTGAGATCAGCCATTCGCCTACTTAGCTGTTCCACTGACATATTGTAACCATTTTCATATTTCCATTCAGCAGCTTCTATTTGTGCTCTTTTCACTTGAAATTTGCTATCAGCTGAAGAATGTTTGAGTAAAATACATGCTTAATATTCGAAAAAAGATACATGAGCAGAAAACTCCATCGACATGCTGTTATATTTTATTAACAATGGCAACAAATATTAAGATTATGCATCTATAAATACAGGTAATTTAAAAAAAGGCTTACGTATCATACCGACCATAGCACAACCAATAGTTGGTGTCAACTGATACAAACTTGTCACAGAATCTGCCACAATCAGTTTATCCTGCAAATAAACAACAATCGAAGAATTGAACTACACAAAAAATAAGATAAAATTAAAGACAGCAAAACTCTAATTGACAGCAAAATATTAACATGAAGATATCATTTATAATATCAAATGAAACTTATTTCACTCAATCTCTAGTACAAGTACGTTTAAATAATGAGAATATACTATCACTAGTCAGAGAATATATTCAGTAGAAAAACTCCCCAACTTAGGTTTGTGTTGTATTATAATTCTAAAACCTTACAGGAACACGCTTTTGGACCGCTATTACAGCACAATCAACACCTTTGACACCAACAGCAGTCAAATTCGTTGAATTGATCGCTTTAAAAGCATATTCTGAAATGTCAAAACCTGAGTTCCGTACAAAACCATACTACTTCCGAGATTTTCTGATTGATAATAGAAGATATATTGACTAACCAACTTGATAGACTCTTCCCTCAGGGGAAAAAATTGTGATATGTCGATCAAAACCTGCACTGCTTCCCCTCGACATTTCTCTAAGAACAGACCTAACTATATTCCAGATTCATCAATAATGAAATTAGACTAACATGACTAAGCATACTATTCCTTATAGTATGCAATATAATAGATATGATGAACTGTAAAGTTCTTGAAAAAATAATGAGCAATAAGGTAGTTGAAAACCTTGTTAAGTCGTGTTTCATAACGACTCCACAAATATATTTTCAAAATGTGATGAGCAAAATCAGTAACAACTAATTAATAATGCTTTTGCAGAACACAAAATTATTTGTAGATTCAATAGGACAAAATTTTGACAGCGTCAACATGCTTCATAACATAAAAAAACAAAATCCTACCGAAAACAATGTATAAATTTATAATTAAGAATCACATCTAAAAAACCAGCATTCAACTGCTCTCAGGAGATAATTAATAACAATAGTCCAATGTCATAGTGTCTCACTAATTTAAAAAGTCAAAATTCTCTATGGCTGGAATACATATAACATCCAAAAATAGAATGAGAGAAACAGTGATCTTTTGATATGGACCTCAATAAAAAACAAATATCTTTATTGCTTCATAAAGTAAAAGTATATATTACATGAAAACAAAAATATACGAGATACAGACAAGCATAAGAGTGAGAACACAAACGACAGATCAGTTTAACAGCGTGTAATCAAGCAGAGCAATTTTCATAGTACCAGTGGGATCTATTTTCATGCTGCCATGATATTCATCAAAGTAGTGCACCGCACGACGAGATGAAAGTATTTTGGCTCGAGATGCTTTGTTAATTGCACACAAATAGGGTAAATAATCAAGTATCACATCTGAAAAATTAGAATTCAATTTTTTCAGGAGAAAATCAATAAAAAGCATTCAATGGTTTTCCGCTATCAGTTTTTTGTTAATTAAAAAAATCAAAACTCTCAACGGCTGAGACACATGCATAATAAAAAGTTATCTACTGGTTATAAAATGATGCACTTAAAAAGCATTCAAAACAAAACAGACAAATTTATTAAAATAATCAAACGAAGATCACCAGACAAAGGATAATATTCAATTGCAGGCAATGCAGAACGAGTAATTTCTACTGCCACATGTATATCATTCTGTCTAACTTCCACATTTCCAAGTTCTCTAAAATGATATACTTGATTTGCAATCGAATTCTCTACTGAATAAACAGTATTAATAGTTTTATGCATCTTAAAACTTGTTATAAGTAAACAGCAAATAAAGTTTAAACCGATCCACAGATGGAAGAACTGATTCCATTTCATATGAATGATCGAAACGTAAGATAACGTTGTATGGGATAAAGCAATATTTCTTTAACATTTCAAATTCTGTCTGTTCTTCATAATTCAGATTACTTTCAAACTGAAATAACTTACAATGATAACTGAATCAACTAATAAAATCTCTTTTTCATAAAATCTAATTTCATACCAAG